GGGAAAAAACAAAAAGCAGACTGACCTGGATTGGAACCCCAGACCCTTCACTCGCAAGACCAGATTCCCACTCACTAGTCCACTCCCGTTGTAGGAAAACCATCAGAAAGCAGACTGACCTGGATTGAACCCCAACCCTTCACTCCAAGACCAGATTCCCACTCACTAGTCCACCCCCATTGTAGGCCAAAAAAAAAAAAAGCAGACTGACCGACAACGTGACCAAGTTTCAGTAACTTTTGAAACTGCCCCTTTAGGTGAAGGGGACAACCCCTCTGACATGCAGCAACAGGTGCAGTCCAACAACATCCGCATCCAAATACTAGAGGAGCAGAACAACCTTCTACGCAAAAGCATCACTAAGATGCTAGCTGAACAGGACAGCCCACAGCAGAGAGTGCAGGTAAATAGAAGGATTATTCTCGGCTGCGATTATGCTCGGAGATGAGTTCTCATCCCAATTTCGGTCCCAATATTTGGAATGGAACTTTCTTACAAACCTGTCACGTGGCATTGCCCAACCAGTTTGGATTTGACTTTGCCGTTGTTGACCACTTGTTTGAATGCAAACTGCTGTTCCCCAACAATATCAAATTGGGATTTTCATCAATGTGCTAGGCACAAGAAATAAGCAAGGTCTGAATCATTTTCCAGGTTAGGTGCTCTTGGAAAGGGTCACTCTCTATTGTTTATCCTAACATGACCCATGAGGATAATTTTTCTTTTAAAAGACAACGCCTTTACATATAACGCCTTACATATAGTAATTTCAGAAAGAATATTGCACTCATCTTGGCCTATTTGCCCCCCTCCTTTGGTGAAAATAGAGAGGATGTGCGAAAATCCTCTGGGTTTGTGCACATCATGATGAAAAGTTATGCACGCTCAGAACCATAGTGTACACACAGTTTTTGCTATTGCTCAGTAACAAAGGCTCCTATCATTTTGTCATGTACAGAGTCCATACACTATCGCTTAGATTTTTTCCCCAGTAATTCATTTGATAAGTTACCAAGTTATTGAAAGTGTGCTGTGGAATTTCGAGAAGATTCAGTGATTACTAGCTGTTGCTGTCATCAAAATCATACCAAGGGGGCCTCACATCCTTGTAAGGTGGGCCAAAGATAACATGGAGCATCACTGATTTGCTAATAGGTGTCTGGCCCGGCCATTCCACTTTGGCAGTCATCATCGACGACGCTGGCAAAGGATCATCATGACAACTCCAGGAACAAGACTCCAGTTAGTCAACAATTTCAACAACACTCTGAGCAACTATACACGTACAAGTGAGAGCATCTCCCCCTCCCCTTGCCCCCTCCCCCCCCCACCAATCACCCCCATCCCAGACCAACTTAGTACAAACTGTGGAAAATCTTCTTATTTGGTCATCACGGTATTAAACACTTTCCCGTAGATGAAGGATTTAATTTATAACCGTTAAATGAAAACCTCTAAATTTATCTGCTTATATTCATCCTCATTTCTCTTAGTGAACACATATTTCAATAAATAAATTTTCCTTACAGTTACAAAAGAAACAGTTTTCTCTTGAAACAGGTTTCCATCTTATTCTGAATATTCACAGGAGTCCAGCCTTCAGTCCAGACAGTCGTGCAACCACTAAGACTCTCTCGCCAGAGAGCCAAGCTGCCACTAAGCCAGGAAGCACCAGCTATCATTCCAGGAAACAGAGCCCACGCAGAGAGGTCTTTCCCAGCCACGGACTCCAGAAAACCACCCTGGCAGCCAAACCGCCCCAGACGGAAGGCCGAGATGCTAGCAGGACAAAACAAGGTTGGTTCTCTTTTGATTTGATACTTAGGCTACAGAATACTGCAGGACCCAAGTTGCTTTTCAAGATACAGGAGGTTTCTTGTCGATATGCTCTGATTTTTTAAAAATATGACAAGAAATCTATTCTAAAATGATATGAAATGTTAATTCTTTGCTCCACAGAGAGCAAATCTTCTTCATAGCACAGTCTCTAGTCTTTTCTCCAGTTACTAATTTTGTTCAATCAAGGATTAGTCCCAGAATTGATAATGATTTTTGGTTTTGATGGACTTGTAGGAGGGAAGCAAACCAGCAGCAGCAGTAACGTAAATGTTGCCAAGTTGGCCGCAGCAGGAGGGAACACAAGCCTGAGTGCATACGTGAAACTAAAGCAGAGTGGTGCAATCACTGCTGGAGAGAAGTCTACAAGCAGAGCCACTGATGGTGAGGAAACAAACTCTCCTTTAAAAGGACTTTAGCATAATGCACTGGGTTCACAGATCGGATCATGAATAGCTCAGTTCCATGATCTCAGTAAAATGCAGTGTCTAAAATTGGGTGGTCATAAAATGAGGATGAGAAACTACGGTAAAATCCGTTAATGGGGTTGTTGTGAGCTGTTATATTACCTCGCGACCTACGGGAAAGGGATTAAGTGGCTAGGTGGCAGCATCCATCGATGTTTTCAAGAAAGTCAGACACCGTCAGTCTTACAGGATAACTTTGTTCACTCCCCCCATCACCATTTATAACAGCCGCATTAGTCATAGTTTCTACCCATTTATGGAATGCACACAGGCAAGGCATCGTCCAATAGCCGGCCCCCTCTCAAGAGCAGACAAGGCTGGATCCACAGTGAATATAACAAGGGCTCCCATAGGTCCCAGGAGCATTACAGTCCGCTCAACACGTTTGTGTGTCCGTCCTGCGACAAGATGTATACATCGGAGCAAGACCTGGAAATTCACCAGTCCTACTGCTATAGATGAAGTCATTATGGTCTTTTTACACTACAATATTCCATCAATTATCACATGAGCACGAGTCAAACACAGAATAGTGTAGTACATCTGTGTCCTGTATACCAGGAAGGCCCTACAGACGCTGCACAGTATTCCGTGTCCCATAAGTGTGAGTATGATAACGAATTTATCTCCAAGCAAACTTGACACGCAGTAAAAGTACGTACACAAATGCACCACCTTTGAATTTACAGTGAATTTTGCAGCTTTGCATTTTGCTTTTAGCGTCAACATAGCGCAATGCGTTGAGTTGGAATAGCGCAGTGAACAGTGGCAAAGGAATGCTTTTGGCAGAGTTCATTTGAACAGCTTATGACTTAGCCTAAGACTAGATGACCAGTGATGGCTTGGCAGGGACTTGACAACAGCAATGTTATGTCTGTTCTGAAAGATTTTGTAAATAAAAGAAAAAGGAAATGAAAATATCGAAAGGCTACTCGGGTTTGGAAATTCAAAAAATATTTGATGCAGCTTGGCTTCTGTAAATCAAGAGTGGGTGAAAATGACAAGGAGTCATAAGGCAATCTTCAAGGACATAGGACTGCTGTTGCTCGTGGCAGCACTCAGGTGTGATCTCTCAGACAAAAATGCAAAGAATTTGTGCTCATTCAGTTGAAAACTACTTCAGGATCTGTGCATGCATATGGGTTTTGTCCTCCACTGGCTCCTGTGAGCAGTCTATGCAGTGCCTTCTATAGTTCTTGCCGCCGTCTTCAGGACAGGGAGAGGGTGTGGAAATTCACCAGTTAAAAAAACTAAAGTGTACTTCTGTATGTAGCTTTATTTTTCACGTCACGATTTGTGTACATTTCAACTGTATAAAACAAGAAAATTATTTCACAATTTTTTATGTAGTATAAAGTACTAAAATGCTTTCTGTAGATGAAATAAATTACATCATCTTTTGTAGTTTGCCCAGTGAATTCTCCGTCCATTATCTCCTCATTACAGAAACTAAGTTAAATAAGAAATGATTCTTATGTGTGAGGAATGTGCCTTTAATTGTATCAGCAGTCTCCAAATGATAAATTCGTTTTTATTCGTAAATTTATCAGAGTTTAAATTATTTCGTGCATCATTTCGAAATAAAATATTTCATTCATTGAAATGATTTATTCTCAGAGAGTGGTCTTCTCTGTGTCTTGTGAAAACGTACTTCAAAATGATCCCTATAATTACCTTATTCCTTTCTTTCAAGAACTAATTATTTTGTAATGTAATGTATTTGATAAATCTTGCGTCGGCTGCTCAACACCCCCCCCCCATAAATTTGATGACCAGTGCATAGAGGGCGCTCGAAGAATGACACGGACGAACCGTACCTGTGATCAGCATTCAATAGCAGACGATACTTTTGTGTGTGTATGTTTTTGTTCAGTTAGAAAATCATGTTCGGAAAGATGTTCGTAGGAGATCTCAGTTATTACTGCAGCGCGTTTCATTTGTTAAATGGGTTGCTGTCAATATCATTTTTGGTTTTGAGGCTGTTTCGACCGTTCTGTAGTACGCTGTTCGCCAATGCAGACACGCCATGCGGACTTGACTGGGTGAGTGTGGTAATTTGTCACATCCGGTTTACTGACCGTCGTGGATTTTCGACACACATTGAAGTCCCAAATTTTTGTGGATGGCGTAGGCTCTAGCTGTCTAAATTCCACCTGAATACGAGTTCTTCCTCATGAGTATAAATTGACAATGATAAATTTATACATGGAAATCCATGGACAAAAATCAATTCCCCAAAACACTTAATTTGCATAAAGGCCTAATTCTGTAATTTGCCGTTTCAGCGAAAAACAAAGAAATAGGCCCCTAGGCCTACTACAAATACTAGCCTATTCTCACGGTTGGGATGATGTCACTGAGTCTTGAGTCTTCTCTCTGGTCGGTCAGTCGATGGCTACTCCATATTTCAAACTCAAAACTCCACGTGGTCTATGGGGAAAATCTGAATGATGGACTAAATTCTTACATGTAACCTTTACATCAAATGTGCCTGAAATTTGCAGTATGAATATATCCCACACTGTACCAGAAAGGTTTCACTTCAGTAATTTTTATAATGCTGCAGCAAAAAAAGAGAACATAACCCAAATCTGGTACACTGAGTTCTTTAAATTCACGTGAACATAACAACTTGAATTCTCCTTACTAAAACCACTGTTGCTATACCTCGTGATTCGGGCAAGCTTTTGCTTAGTTACATGAGAGACGCCTTGCAACAATACACTGTTCTCAATGGATAAGGAGTGTAAAAGGAATCAGTCCATTCCAAAGATGGTGGTCGCTATGCGACGGCTTGCCCCGAATCATGAGGTATAGCAACAGTGTCTTTAGTCTGGGGACTTCAAATTGTTATGTTTATGTGCAGTCAGATAACTCGGTGCACCAGATTTTATTCAATTTAATTCGCAAATGGCTTATTGAGAGTTGCCCTTTGCCCAGACGTGTTCTTTTGAGTGCAATAAACATGACAAATGGTGCAACCTCCGACCACGAGAATACAGCAATAGGTATCTTGGGTCAATTCAAAGTCTACTCCCAGAACTGTAAGGCACACTCTGTGTACCTCACACTTCCAAATTTTCATTGGGTTGAAACGCCATAGGATTTTGAATGTGCCAATTTATTCTGCCTAAAAGTGCACTTTGTCAATCAAATCTTCCTCCCCCCCCCAAAAAAAGCCGCCCACATTAAATGGGTCAGTGTGGACATCCATCCACCCCCGTAGGGCCTAATAATAGGACCCCTTGCATTAACCCTAACCCTCCTGAATCCTTCACCTGTTGGAGGATTGAGGAGGGTTAGGGTTAAGGCAGCATCAGAGGCTATTCTTCATTTAATATCATAACAGTGCATGCACAAAAGGTTTACTTCCGCCTATCCTGGAGGAAGAAAGAATTTCCCTCTAGCGTGAAGTCATACGCAGGGGATATATATCTCATAAACACATGCTTTATGGTTTTTGTAACTGGGTCATGCTATTTAGCATCAACAAGCGTCGATGAGTGTCAACTAGTTATTCAAGCATAATGTGCAAAAACTTTATAGTTACAATATTAATTAGACTCCTACATATCTCATTCAATGCATCACAGTTTCATGTAGGGCCTATCTGAAATGATATTTGAGTGTGGAAATTTGAGTGATAAAGTCGGACCTGCTCGTGCAGCCCGACCGGCTGCCATCTTGTTTTTACGTGAACAGCAGAGAAAAAAAAAATGGCGATCCCATACATAGCGAAAAATTTTCATTTTCCTGCCAGAATCTAGAAGCAAATTCACTTTTTCTCTTCCACTGTAGCAGGTGTTAGAAAATGTAAGGTATGGTAAAATCACTTTGAAGTCTTTAGAGAATAGTTGTTGGCATATTGTTGACGCTACTTGTGTGTGTTGACACTTGTTGACGCTAATTAGCATGACCTGTTTAACCAGCTATTTTTGGCAAAATCCAGACGTTTTACTTATGATCCTGCCTCTCTTCGCCAACGATCTGGTTCCCATCCCGTCTAAGCCCTCCAAACGTATATGATAGGGACAGCGACCACTCCAGTGATGAGGGATGTGTCGCATCATTGGCAACCTTAACACGTCTGTGTGCACATTCCTTCACTGGGAAGCAATGTAGCACGGCAAGATCATACTCATGGGAATGAGGTTGCGTTAGGTATGTTTGGAGAATCAGGAAGGGACGGGAACCAGCCTTCTTGTGAACGGACATGCCCCACAGTATGCTGCTCAGATACGGTATATGGATCGTTGGTAAAGAGAGGCAGGATATTAAGTCAAATGTCTGGATTTTGCCAAAAGTAACTGGTTACACGGTCCAAAAACCATCATGCATGTTAACCATCATGTTAAAGAGAGATTATTTAGTTTTGATCCGATTGACAAAATGCAGTTTGGGCAAAATAAATGGCCACATTCAAAATCCCTTACAAACCAATGAAAATTTGGACCTGTGAGTCACACAGAGTGTGGCTTACAGTTCTGGGAGTATTCACAGTCCAGCATGCACCATCTACCTGTAAATTATTATTGAGCTAATCAGATGCGTGCATGATGCTGAGATAATACTATGTATTTTAGCAGTACTTGGTTTTTGTACCCATTTCAGTGATGTTCTATAAATGAAGGGCCTACATCTTTTCTCTTTAGAATGAAACCAACGTCTTGTTTTTCCTTGGATGTATCCTGGTGGTCAAGAACCGGAAGCTGCCATCGTTTCGAGAGTACCTTGCGAAGATGTTCATGTTTGGAAAAGTGGCCAATGCTGTGCTCTTTTTCTATGCAGACTTCAGATATGCAATTCTGTATGTCGTTCTGGCACTAGGTGAGCAACAATGATTGTAAGCCTGACGTGTTCAACATATATCCGTCATGTGTGCATTTCTCAATCTTAAGACAACGAAATTCTTTTATTTACAGAAGTTTTATATGGATTGTGTGGTCTTAATTCATACTGTGTCATCTCAGTGAACAGAGGTCAGGAGTGAAATTTCATTGAAGTTCTTCTTTTCTTGTCTACAGTTGTGCTGATTGTCTTTCCAGAACCAATCTACTGTGGCCGTCAAAATGTCACATATTTCAACAGCAGTACATTAGAAGTAAGCTGAAACCAGACCTATTTACCCTAGCCCCTGAAGTCCAGTGCAACACCGCGTAAAAGCTTGCCAGATTTGTGGTTGTTAATATTATTTTCAAATATTGAGGGAAATAACCACTTTGAATATTTTTTTAAATAGCAGTCAAATTATCCCTTGGGCAGTCACCAGAATTGTGTAAATTCAGTCTTACTTTTTTGTAGAGGAAGTACGCTCACAGAAGTGGGAGGAACCTTACCTTAACTCCCTCGGAAATTTGAATCTTCCAAAATGCTACATGGCATTCAACCAATGGCACGTTCTATGAACAGACACAAAGCAATAATGGCTGGGCTGAACAAACTCGACAAAACCACTTTCCATTTCTACAAAGTTTCTTATTGTTTAACATTTAGGAGAACATCAGCTTATAAATCAAAGAAGGCTAATCAACTCCATTCAAACCTTTTTTTATGCCAAAGATTGATCACAACTTGCTCTTCCATGTTTGCTTCTATTGTAGGAAGAACTAACTTCATCCCCCAGAGTAACATGGCTCATTGAATTCTACACACCGTGGTCAGGTAGATGTCAGAGATTTGCACCAGTCTTTGCTGACCTGTCACTGAGGTAAAGAACTATTTTTATCTGTGATTGTTGCATCCGTGTCACTCAGATTCTGATGGTGCTACTTGGAAAGGCCTACTCTCAGGGCAAAATATCAGTGATTTATTTTGACGTAGTTTTCTATTGAATTAGTGCTTTCTCTTTCTTAATAGAATCTAGTAATAAAGGTTCTGTGAAAAATCCTTTTGTCTGAGCAAAATATTAATGAATTTGTTGAATGCAATTTTCTTTTGAATTAGTATTTTAAATTTTTAATAAAATCTGGTATAAATGTTCCATGAGAAATCCTTTTGTCTGAACAAAATATTGATGAATTTTGTGAATGTAGTTTTCTGTTGAATAGTGCCAACTTTTCTCTCTTTCAAAAGTATCAAATATAAAAAAATCTATGAGAAATCTAATGTTGAAATGCTGTTAATAAGATTGGCACAGTGTCTCACATTTCCCTACAAATCAAGCCACACACACCTGCTAATCTGAAGCATGTGGAGCTTCCTCAAAGAGGCCCATTCTGAGAAAAAAACATGTATGCAAATGGTCAACTATTGGAAAACCACCTGGGAATTTCCATGTAGGGAGGGTAAATGACAGTATCAACATTGCATGATCACATTTTGATACTTTTCTTGGACTCATGGACTAAAAAAATTGCACAAGGCCAATACAATTAATGTCAAGTTGCATCGATGTTCGGTAATGATAGTCACAATTAGTTTATCTACTTAAAGTTGTGTACTTTTTTGTTTCCAGCTACTCTCACAATCACCTGAAGTTTGGTAAAATTGACGTAGGCAGATACACAGATGTAGCCAAAAAGTAAGCCATGAGTTACCCACTCAGAAGCTCAAATTCCTTAGCTAATTTTGTTAGGAATATTGTGAAATCTTCATAAATATCACTGCACGGAACCCCAAGAGCAATGTCCCTTGACTTCTGAGAATCCTCTACAATCTCTTGATGAATTTCAAAAGACCTGACAGAGTTTGGATTAAGCAAGAAATCTGTTTACATGATGCCTTAATCTATTCTCCATAGAGGCTTTGCATGGGAGCCACCTTGTAGGGCAGTCCTTTTCTTCCACAGGGAAACTTCCCTGGTGGATACCCCAGTGGAACAAAAGCACTGGCCGGCAAGATGGCAGCCGTGTAAACCCTCAATTAATTTCTTCTTCTGACTTACATGCTTGGGCAAAATCTTGTTGACAATGTGTATTGGAAGTAATCATAATATACAGTTTAAAGAATCTTGTTAGAGCAATACACATAAACCTGAAGATTTTACATCAGTAACCCAACATCTCGAGCCCCTGTCAGCAGCATCTCTAATTGGATGAATTCCCCAATCTCATCGGACAGGTACAAAGTGGACGTGTCGTCGTTATCACAGCAACTACCCACATTGGTGCTATTTGAGGGAGGGAAGGAGACACTGAGAAAACCGGGCAGAAACAGCAAGGGAGCAACTGTCAAACATCATTTCACGAAGGTGGGTCAGGGGGAATATCTCTTTAAGGTAATGCACAGCATTTGCTTTAGGTTACATTTGATGAAATAGACAGATTGGAGGATATGTCAGTTGTAGCAACTGTCATTCCGGGGATGAGTTCCCCGTTTTGAGTTTACTACCGGGAGAAAAACCCGAAAAAAATGGCATCTGCTCTCAAATATCAAAGTACAGCTCTGTTCTACCCTGCGGATAAAACCCATAGACCACAGCTGTTCCTGGGTGCATGAAACACACAACCACTGTGTGGCGTGCGTTCCACTGGAGTAATACAACATTCCTGTTTTCTTGAAAATAGCAGCACCCCAGACACAAATTTACACCACACTTTCTAAATTACTTTCCAATAATCTACTTCATAATTTGGCAATTCCTCTTTTGTTGTTTGTGCAAATGGTGTATTTTACCACTTTTGGTAATGTTTTTGTATTTTTTATTTGAATGTTGTAGCTTTTCTCAGTGTCCATAAAATGGGTGTATTTCCCATTCCAAGCTCAGATACTCTCCAACCTAGAAAGGAACATTATGAAAATGGTCTCACATTTCTTCTTTTTTGTTTGATGAAGGAAAACATCATTAGTGATTACAACTTGGAGACCCTTTATCAAACCACCAAGAGCAAAGCACAGAAAAAGGCTGACAAGGCAGAAATGTCCAGTGATAAAAAGACCAACTGAACTCCCTAGATAACTGCATGCAATAGTAAGTAATTCCATTGTGAAACTTAAAATTTTGTTTCATGGAAAGAGTGAAGTGGGACAGGCGAAAAAAAATTATTGTTACAGGAAAAAAGCTTTTTAAAAAAGGTATTTTTGCCATAGTAGTTCCCTTGTTGATAGTTATGATTAGAGTTTAAAGATTTGTATAAAAAAAACCCAAAAATTGCAGACACTGTTAAACGTAAATTTACATGAAATATAACTTTGTGGCAGTTGAGAACTCTTTATTAGGATCTATGCTCTGCCGTCATCTCAGTTCAGTCACCCCTTTTTAGTGATTGGTCCCATGTTTGTGTAAAGTTGTAATTGGTGCTTGTTTACAAAGGTGTTCACACAACAAGTGGTAGAATGCCCATTGCTCATCGTTATTAAAATGCAAGGTACTTATAGAGCCTTTCTCAGGGCAAGGTTTTGATCCTGGCTTTGTATAGAGTTTCATCATTGCCCGTAGCTCAACTGCTATGCATGATGTGATTGTACCGTTTGGATGATGGTACATCTGGAGTGTGCATTCCGACTGCAGACAACCTATCCAATATCAATAAGTACCGTAGAAAAAGTTTGAGATTTTGAAATCTGTTTTAGTACATGTCTTGGTATAGAGCATTCAAATTTATCGTGATTAAGAATTTCTACGCCATTTACAACATTGTTCTACGTGAACACTGAGAGAAGTGTTGTCTTTTCTGGGGCCAGCCATTCTGCCGAGGCCAGGGGTACGGAGGAGTGTACGGAGCTGCATTGCCAAGAGTACTGCTTATCAAATTTTATTTGCTAAGCAAAAAAAACCCCGCTTGTATTCTTGTGCTGAGCACATTTTTGTACTCGGCAGTTTCAAGAAGTTTGGTTGTTTGGGCAACAGAAGCTGTGGCTTGGCCCATGCACCCTCTAGTGTTGCCGTTACCTCTACACTGTTAATTTGTTGTTACTGTAGTCACCTGAATTCCATGCCACTATGGGCAAGTCAGTACATGCACATGCTTGTCTTTTGTATTTCTAATACAATCAAATGTTCTGTGACTGACCGGTCAGTTATCTTTATGGGTTATCAACTGGGTTTAAACTTTTGTTGTTCGCATAATCTTATCGTTTTTGCAGTCAGTTAACAATTCTGAAATGTGCCCATTTCAAATCCCACTTTTTGTAAAATTAAAATTCAAAAATAGAGAGGTTAATGGATTTTTTTTTTAAGATTTTGTCAGCTTTCTGTGTCAGCTGATAAATTGCTAGTCAAAATGCTTAAAAACAGCGGTTACAGAATGCAGAAAATCCAGACTGCTGGCAAGATAACCTAACCCACGATTATACTGTATGATACATTCTCCGTTCTAAATTATTTCAGTTGTTATATATGTAGCTTTTACAAAGTAAAATGAAGTAATGTAAAATAAATTTGATTACAAATGAAACATTGAGAGTACTTTTGTCAGTGAGTGAGGGAATTCATTTTCATATTTGAACTGTAACTCATTGAAATGGGATTTCTTCTAGGATTTTCCTGATTACAGGGGTTTCTTCACTAGGATTTTTCTTGATCACAATGGTCTCTTCACTAGGATTTTCCTGATTACAGGGATTTCTTCGCTAGGATTTTCCTGATTACAGGGATTTCTTCACTAGGATTTTCCTGATTACATGGATTTCTTCGCTAGCATTTTCCTGATTACAGGGATTTCTTCACTAGGATTTTCCTGATCACAAGGGTTTCTTCACTAGGATTTTCCTGATTACAGGGATTTCTTCACTAGGATTTTCCTGATCACAAGGGTTTCTTCACTGGGATTTTCCTGATTTCAGGATTTTTTAAATTGTCTTTCTCAAATTTTGGAAAATCCTTACCTTTGATATAAACCGTGAGAAATGGGTATTTGAACTATTTCCTGCTGGGTGCTTTTAAAAATGCAGTGCCTACATTTACATACGGGCGATTTTCAAGATTTTCCATTTTCAAAATTCTTCAAAAATTCACAATTTCATTTAATGGATGTTTACACCACATTGACTGTATGGTGCTACTTTCATCTGACAGGCAACCTCCATTGACTCCTGAGTATTTCAGCCAGGCCTGCTGCCCAGTAAAGAGAGCCCAAAATTGTGAGGTGTTGCATAATTTCCTTTGTTCCCAGTGAATGCCAGTAGCGTCTTTTCAAATACGGCTGGATTAGCGTGCAGTGGTACTGTATCACTCATCGCTGGAGTGCTTCTGTCCACGGTGCTAATCCACGGGTGCTATGCTGAAAATTGTGGTATACTGTTTCAAAACAATGACGGATTACCTCCGATAAATGCAAGCAGAAAAATAATGGCAGTTCCCAGCAGCGGGTCTTTTGTTCCGAGTATGGTCTTTTGTTACAAGGCCCAGCTCTTTTGTCCAATTTTGGGCTCCCAGTTTCGTGTATAAAGCCTATGTGCCGTAACCGGGTTCCCCGGCAGCATATGGTTAAGGGGTGCCTTCAGGCAAATAGATCCTGTGCTGCCAGCGGGCCTTAAAACCTCTGGAGATTATTTCATAGATATTTCATTTTCTCCACACTGACCACGAATTAAATGAAAGAAAGCTACTGACCATCCCAACGAGTGAACTCATTGTCAAAGAGCTTGTTTCTATGTCGAAATCTGTGCTACTTGGAAATAACTTACAGAGACAACAATAAGTACACGTAGTAACAAATTTTCCATCAAGTCATTGTTTTCCTTTTTAGGGAGGTGCAAAAACATTGCCCACATCGTCGACATTAAACAAAGAAATACACCTTGAAACCATAAAGATGTGAAAAAAATCATTGTCAAATTATTTGTCACCTTGAACTCCCCATGTTGGGGAAAAAAAAATTACGACTTGGTGATGTGATAGAGTTCGCCGAGCTGGAATTTCAAATAATCCAAAGCAGAGATGGGTGGGTACTTGTTGCTCTTGTCCACACACTCGATGATGGCATCGTTGTCAGGGCAACCAAAGAAAGCGATGGACTGACGAGATTTCTCTTTTTCTTCTGGTGTGTTGTCCATGAAATATCGAGGCATGTGAAAACAAAACAGAGGGGGGAAAAAGTTAATTGGTTTTTGTGTACATCAGCCTGTGAGCTGAAGAGATGATGTACTCTGAGCATGAATTAAAGTGTCGTGCAGCAAGCATTGAGTGAAAGTGAATGGCAAAAGCCGACAATCCGTCTGTCCTCATTTGCTGATAGCTGTTTACATTTTGGAATCATTGTAAAAATAATGGGAGGTTACGGGCTGTCCGTTAATTATTAATTCATAAACACCTCAGACAGTCTCCTTATTCAACAATGTGCAACTTGACCATGTATTAACATATGATAATGCCCGCAGCATAAACCACTCTCTGGTACCTGGATACAAGACAGTACTCCATCCCTATTGGTTATGAGTCTGTGTGCAATGCAGCATGCATATACAAGGAGATTCTTTTGGACAACTTGCAAAAGGAATATACCATACAAAGAAGGGGGGAGTTCGAGAAAATGAAAATAAAAGTCTAAAACAAAATCGAAATCCATCATATAATGACTTCTTTTGACTCGCCGATTAAACGGTATTTATGAATGGCAATAAATATGTGGTTGGCCGGTCTCAAACTAACGTCAATGACTGGAATCTCGGAGGATGAGTCACCCATGATAACTGACTGGGGTCAGGTTTGTCCAGAGACAGACGGTAGGCACTGAAGTCAATGACTGGAATCTCAGAGGATGAGTCACCCATGATAACTGACTGGGGTCAGGTTTGTCCAGAGACAGACTGCTCTGAAGTCAATGACAAGGAATCTCAGAGGATGAGTCACCCATGAT